GTGTTTGGGGGGGAGGCTAGGGATGCCTCGCGAGGGCAGTCTTGGCGCATGCCTTGCTTCTGGCCATTGAGAGAGTGTTCCCCTGGTGAAGGCTGTGCTTTTTGTGGGGAAGCTCTTCCTTGGCAGGTGGCAGGCTTGGGGGGATCGCCCTGGAACCATGATTCCGGCAGAGGGCAGTGCAAGCCTGGAAGCTGCTCCCCTGCCTTCAGTGTGGGAAACCAGAAACCAGAGGCTCTGGTGAAAGAGGAAGACCTGCCTGAGGCACCAGCATTCTGGCTAGTGCTGCAGCAGCCCCCATGCCTCTTGAACCCCTTGGGTCCCCAGCCGGGTGCTCCACAGCAGGAAGCCCAGACCTCCGACCCAGAGCGCCTAAGCCAGTGCGATTCTCCTGTAGCCTCCAACTGGTGGAGAAGAAGCTCTGTTTTGAGGGGCTTTCTGGAATGCATTGGTTCTTGCCCAGTGTTCTCCTTCCCACCTGTCTGCTGTCCTTCAGTCTTTGGCACCAGTGAGCCTTAGAAACAGCAGGCGCCTTTGGGCTACTGCTCCCTGCAAGCAAGCATGCTTCCTTTCTCAACCCAGCAAGCATCAAAATAAACATATACTCACAACTGACTAACGTTCCTGGTCAATTGTGCAGTTCTTTTATGCTAAAGTGTCCTTTACTGACAGAGCTGGGTGCTATGGTGCACACGTTTCCTACCAGCACTCTATCTGCAGAGGGAGGAGGAGGCTGGCTGCAAAGCCCAAGCCAGGCCTTTCAGCTCAGCCAGTATCAGGCTTGGCACATCCACCCTTGGATTCCCTATGGTAAATATATTCTTAAAATGTGATATATGGGGCTGGAGAGATGTCTCAGTGGTGAGAAGCACTGTCTGTTCTTCCAGACGACTTGGGCTCTGTGGGAGAAAAGCAGTTTACAACTGACTGTAACTTCTGTTCCAGGAGATGAAAAAAAAAAAAAAATGACAGGAAGGGAAAAGAAATAATATATGAAATGAGCTGACAAGCCTTGAAATATCATGATGTGCCAGGAAATATCGAAAATAAGTGATAAAAGCATGATGACATGATTTTTTGTGTGACATAAAAATAAAGCAAAATGTAACAATGGAATAATAAGAAAATAAAATCAAATTGTGTGAAAACAAAATAAAAAGAAACAAGGCAAAATACGAAGGAAGACTGAGATCATTACATGAGATATAATGTGTGAAATTATGAAATGAGAATAATACATGAAATTAAACATTATAAAAAGTAATGAAAAATATGATAATCGATGAGATGATGAAGAGAGGCAAAAGCAAAACAGAGTGATGGGGAAATGAACTGCAATGCAGCAAAAAAACAAAAGAATTCATGTTTTTATGAAAAAATGGAACAAATGAATCCATGAAGGATATAAATTGTATAATTTCATGTTAAAATCAGATAATAAATAGGAAATAAAATGGAATGGAAGGTTTCAAGTAAAATTAATTAAAAATATATAAAATAGGGGCTGGAGAGATGGCTCAGAGGTTAAGAGCACTGGCTGTTCTTCCAGAGGCCCTGAGTGGCTCTGGAAGCAACCACATGGTGGCTCAAAACCATCCCTTATGAGGTCTGGTGTCCTCTTCTTGTGTGCAGATATACATGGAAGCAGAATGTTGTATACATAATAAATAAATAAAATAAATAAAAATCTATCTATATAAATATATAAAGTAATGGAATGCAATATTGGCATGATGATGAGTTTGAATGAGAGGCTGAGATAGAATGATAATGAGTTGGATCAAATTTCATGGAATGAAAAAATTTTCTCCAGTCATGTATAATAAAATGTAATTGAATGTGATCATATGAAATGAAGTGACGATATGACATGTAATAAAGAAATGATGAGAGCTGGGCATTGGAGGCAGAGGCAGGCGGATCTCTGTGAGTTCAAGGCCAGCCTGGTTTCCAGAGTGAGTGCCAGGATAGGCCCAAAGCTACACAGAGAAACCCTGTCTGGAAAAACCAAACAAAGAAAAAAAAATGATGGAAAGTTGACCCGTCCAGCAGGCCAGGTTATTTGTGGGTCTATGAAATTGGAGGCAAAATAAAATGTGATATAACCAAATATCATTTTATTATTTTTTAATTTAAATTAAAAACAATCTTATTTACTTACAAATCCCAGTTCCCTCTCCCTCCCATCCTCCTGTTCACCCCAACAACACCCCATGCTACCCCTCATACATTCCCCAGGGAGAGTGAGGCCTCCTGTAGGAGATGGTCAAAGTCTGTCACATTTGGGGGGCTGGACCTAGGCCCTCCCCTTGTGTAGCCCTCCATATAGAGAATCGGCTCCCAAAGCCCATTGGTGCACTATGGATAAATACTGGTTCCATTGCCAGGGGCCCCATAGACTACTCTGTTGGGCCTTCCCAAGTGACACCCACATTCATGGGGTCTTTTTCTGTCCTATGCTCATTCGCCAGCTGTCAGACTGAGGTCCTAGAGCTTCCACCTGCTCAGATCAGATGTTTATGTGGGTTTCCCCAGCATGGTCTTGACCCCTTTGCTCATCACTCCTCCCTCTCTACAACTGGAGTTGTAGAGCTGGAGTTCAGCTCACTGCTTAACCGTGAATCTCTGCTTCTGCTTCCATCAGATACTGGGTGAAGGCTCTATGATGGCATTTAAGATAACAAATATTGGGGCTGGAGAGATGGATCACTAGTTAAGAGCACTGGCTGCTCTTCCAGAAGACCTGGGTTCAATTCCCAGCACCCACATGACAGCACATAACTGTCTGTAACTCCAGTTCCAGGAAATCTGACACCTTCACACTAATGCACATAAAAAAATTAAATAAACTACTTTTTCTTTAAAAAGATAACCAAATATCTTGAAGTCATAAAGTGATAAGGTGAAAGGAAAAAAGTTCCTAAACAAAATAAAGATAAAATCAGTCACTAAAGGGAAAAAAACCTCTAAAATATCGATTTTATTAAATAATGGAAGGAAATTAAACTTTGAACAAAACCTAGTGTATGAAAAAATCTGCAGAAATATAATGAATGGCATGAGAAACTTGAAATTGAAAGATTTAGAAATTAACAAGGAAACAGATTCGGCTCTTCTACTTACCCACCTACCTCCCTTGCAAAAAGAATTGCTCTTGACCCAGAGACTTGCTACCAAGGCCCCATGACTCAGTTCCTGGAATCTCCCCTACAAGGCCTCAAGATAGCTAGAATACCAAGAATTTCCAGAAGGCTGCACTCGCAAAAGGAGCCCATTAAGGGAACTAACTGACCAAGATTCAAAAAGTGATATGTAAGTCCTTAAAAAACAAAGACTGCTGTCTTAGGCAAGATTGATTTGCACATTCTGAGGTCTTGTCTATTTGCCCAATGGATGATGGTCCTGCAGAATCGTGACCTCCCCCCCCCCAAAAAAAGGAAAAAAAAAAAAACTTGTGGTTTTTGCCTTTAGAAAACACCTGTGCATGGGGAACCGGGCTGCTCTATAGCCTGCATGCTGAGAGAGCCGCTTTGTATAAATGCTTCCCGTTCATTAAAGCCTCTTGCTCACTGCATCAACTGGACTGGACTTTGAGTTCTTGAGGGGTGGACCTGACAGATCCGGGAGACTCCTCACCCTGAGGGTCTTTCAAAATAATTCAAATGATGGAAGGAAATGAAATGGAAAGTTGAAATGAAATTTAATAACTGTAATTACATGTAATATAATGAAGTATAATGACTTAAAATAATGAGGTGGTGCTGAAAAGAAATCATGAATTGGAATATTATCATGACATGGAATAAAATAATGAAATCAGTTGTAATTTGTGTTTCCTAGAGACTAATCCTCCACTATCAACTTGTTTGTTTGGGTTTAGAGACCACCAGGCAATTGATTCATTGCTGAGTGAATCTGTGATTGCGGTTCCAGAGACAAGTAGACCACCAGGGCCCTGATCAATGAATACATTGATCCCCCAGATGGATTCATAATATAATGATTGTTTTATTGAGAGTTGGCGCAGGGCACGGAGGAACTAGCTGGCATATCCTCGGGTCCTTTCTTGCTATACACCCTGCTCTCTGCTTCTGGTTGCCATGAAGATGCTCTTCCACCACACACTCTGCATACAGGGATGATACACAGCAGTCCTTGGGACCAAGACACCCTGAATTCCCTGAAACTGTGAAGTAAAGTAAACCTTCTTCCTCTTTTTCACACCAGTAAGAAAAGCAGCACAGCAGAAATGGGAGCAGATGGTCTGGGAGGTGGCAGTGGGCAGTGTTTCTGCCTTTCAGATGTGGAGGGGAAGGGACATGTCATCCTTGCTGTTCCCTTCTATGAAGTCTCACAATCTGCATTCCAGCTTCTCCTCTTCCTGTAAGTCGTTTTGG